TTGCCTGGCGAGCCGGACGCGGTGCCGGTCGCAATGCTGTGCAGGAGCGAATGCATCATGTCATAGAGCTGGTGTCCAGCCATCTCGCAAGGGAGAGAGAAGGTTGGAAAGGGGTGAAACAAAACCACAACTGCGGCAAAAATGCGTCAATGGTGCAAATGCATGCGAGCAAAAATGCGTCAATGGTGCAAATGCATGCGAGCACAAAGGGGTTCTCAGAGGTGCCTGTCAAGTGGCCTCATGAAAGTGCCTCATGTGGCTATGCCGATGAATCTGAACTGAACTCATCCGAGACGAAAGCTTCCATAAACACCACGAATTGCAGAGTTGGTGTATGACCAACTCGTCACTGGCGCATGAAGCTTAGGAACCTGAAACCTCGTGGGTGCAGCCTTGCTTCAAAGGCAGGCAGTGCAGGCAGTGCAACGCGCATGAAACCAGCAGAGCACCATTTGGGTGCGGAATACCTTAAGACCTCAAGCTGCAGCCTTGATCGTGGTCAAACGCGCTGAACTGAACTGCAGCTTGAATTTGAACACTTGAACGGTCTTCCCCTCGCAGGGGGCTCCCGCATGTGGCGAGTCCAGCCCACAGCGCCATGTCGGACAGGCCGTGGGTAAACACACTTATCTCGAGAGGCTTCACTAGCCGAGATGCAAAGGTTGGAAAAACCTGCAACTGCTGAAATTGCTTGACAGATCACAATGCAGAACAGAAACCGGGAAGCAACAGCGAACAGGACAGAGAAACAGTCAGGAAAAAGAAGGAAAGGCAGGTACGTCCAGCTGGCCAAGCTGGATATCCCACTTCACTGGTAGCTTCGTTGGACACAGTCCCAGTGAAGTGCTGTGTCCCCCTGCAATGTGGAATTTCCGTCCGTGCTCCAGGACGCTTCACACACACACACACACACACACACACACACACACACACACACACACACACACACACACACACACACACACACACACACACACACACACACACACACACACACACACACACACACACACACACACACACACACACACACACACACACACACACACACACACACACCACACACACACACACACACACACACACACACACACACACACACACACACACACACACACACACACACACACACACACACACACACACACACACACACACACACACACACACACACACACACACACACACACACACACACACACACACACACACACACACACACACACACACACACACACACACACACACACACACACACACACACACACACACACACACACACACACACACACACACACACACACACACACACACACACACACACACACACACACACACACACACACACACACACACACACACACACACACACACACACACACACACACACACACACACACACACACACACACACACACACACACACACACACACACACACACACACACACACACACACACACACACACACACACACACACACACACACACACACACACACACACACACACACACACACACACACACACACACACACACACACACACACACACACACACACACACACACACACACACACACACACACACACACACACACACACACACACACACACACACACACACACACACACACACACACACACACACACACACACACACACACACACACACACACACACACACACACACACACACACACACACACACACACACACACACACACACACACACACACACACACACACACACACACACACACACACACACACACACACACACACACACACACACACACACACACACACACACACACACAAGCACAGAAACACAGAAGCACAGAAACACAGAAACACACAAACACACAAACACACAAACGGGCAAACACACAAACGCGCAAGCGCACAAACACACAAACAGACAAACACACAAACGGGCAAACACACAAACGCACAAACACACAAACACACAAACACACAAACACAGAAACACAGAAACACAGAAACACAGAAACACAGAAACACAGAAACACAGAAACACAGAAACACAGAAACACACAATCGCGCAAACGCACAAACGCACAAACACACAAACACACAAACACACAAACACACAAACAATCAATCAATCAAACAAACAAACAATCAATCAAGCAAACAAACAAACAAACACAAGCACAATATTGCTCTTAAAAAAATGAAGCATAGACTTTGTTCAGTTTGAACCATCAGCTGCCAGAACGAGCGAAAACTCGAGGTCTAAAGACCAAGAACGGTGAATCATAAATTGCCCGAGTTGGCCAAACTGAAAAACCAACTTTGGGGTGGGCGTTTACGTGATCAGGTTTATGGAAAACAAGTGTTGATATGCTCAGTTTGGCACATGGTACGTATTCATTCCGTGCAACCTGGGGCTTTGTTTCAAGGACGGGCCCACGTGTCTTTTTTCTTTTGGCGCTTTCCGATTTTCGCGTAGAGTGCACGACGTACATTCAGATCCTAACCTTGAGAGCAACTTCGGAGAGTTCGGGGTGCACTCAAGGCGCTGATCTTTGAAAATCAGTGGCTATCAAGATCTTGGATCATACAGTGGTAGAGCGGCCGAACAAGGAGTAGCAAGCATAGCAGTCAATCAACAAGAACACGGGGAGGAGAGGGCACAGTAGGCTTTTGCACCATGTTTGTGCATTGGGGATTCCTGTCAGGTATTCCTTTGTTGGTTGGTGTCTCGGGGCTTGCGGAAGTCTACGTGCAAGCCACAGAAGCACAATTCGCAGGGATTCGCATAGACCTCTGCATGGAACTTGGCAAAGAACCTGAACAAGCTGAATCTGAACACAACCTTTTTCGGGGGTCGCGCACTTGAATGCGTGGGCAGGATGCTGCAAGGGAATGAACCAGGCGCCGTGCACGTTCTGCTTTGATTGTTGCCAAGACTGCTGTGAGCATGGACAAGTTCATGTGGGATCAGGGTTGCCGGCAACCTCAATATTTTCGTGTGGCTCAAAAATAAAAGCCAGTTGGACCGCAGGTTTTAGTCTGCATTTGAGCCACGCCCTTTTTGTTTCAGACCAACTTTCCTTGTGACTTCAGGTGATCTCGCGCTGCAGGTGCGCCACTTCCGCGAGGCCGGGCGATGGCGATGGGGTGCCCATTGGCATACAAGGGTCCCATGTTTTTGACAACCCCTACGGAGCTGCCAGGCCCGTAGCCAGACTCTAAAACCTCAATCATCATGGGGCTTTGTGACGGGAAGGCTGAGCTTTCGCCAGCATGTGGTACTTGTTGTGTGAGTGTTCGCGATAATGGCGTGCGAATCTGTGTTTCACACAGGGTGACGGTCCATCTTTCCGTGGGCCCTGCTGTTCTCCCAGCTCCTTGTTGGCCCATCCTTCGCTTTGGAGAACTCAGTGCCTTCGACAGGCTTGATGGGCAAGCAGTGCTCGGAGTGTTCTTGCCCGCGGAGAAGGCGGTACGGAGGCGCCCTTGTAGCCGGTCGCGCTTGCGAGGAACCACTGCACTTATGCAGATGGGTAGGGCTCAAAATTAGGGACCTAGGGACGGCAGATGTAGTTGTCGTTGTTTGTCCCTCCAAACTGTTGCGATCATGATTCTAATTTGGTTTACCAGTAATTTCCCTAGAACTCCGCGTTATTTAGGCCCTTTTTGGCTTTTCGAAACCCAGAGCACCTTTTGAGAAGTTGACTGGTGAGCATGTTTTGTGTGAACGCTCTAGTAGACTCTAGCGAAGAGATCATAGGCCATGCCGGCAATCAAGGAAAGAGAGAGAGGCGTCACTTTCCATTCTTATAACTATTTGTTACAACGAAAACCGGAAAATCATAACACTATTAAATAGAAAGTCAGAGAGATGGGTTTCCCGTCTTTCAAGCTCTACCACTCTATTCTTATGTATGGAGTTGCTGTGACTATGAAAGACTTACGATGGAACGGCCTATCTCTTCTCTGGAGGAAAAAGGAATGAGGAATGGATGGATTTCCAGAGTTGCTAGCGATGAAAGAAAGGTATGACAAAGAAGTCCATCCATCTTTGTCTCATTCATGTCTTTCCTTGGGGTTTGATGGCTTCGCCGCGAGAGAGGATGCTTGGAGGTGACTCCTTGTGCAGCTCCATTTGCAAGGATTTCAAGTGTGGGCGGCTGTAAACCTCCTGACGGAGATGTTCATGTGGCAACGGACAGTATTGATAGGGTACTGTTTTTGACGGGCAACTATGGGTTCTGCAGGTTGGTAGGTGTTGTTTCCGAGTGGTTAATTTCCCATCGGGTGTCTGGTGGAACCAGGCGCCCGTGGAGAACGAGCAGAAGTGGTTCCCTGTGAAGGCCGGAAACCGATCAAAACCAGGCTGAGTGGGGACGGGGTGGGGGCGGTGGGCACGGGGGAAGCTGTGGGGATGGGGTGGGAATGGGGTGGCCATCGTGATGCCCGTCTGTTGGATTGAGAAGTCTCTGTCTTCCTTCTCTCTCTCTCTCTCTCTCTCTCTCTCTCTCTCCCTCTCACATACACATGAAAACATTATGTATATATATATATAGATACACACATACATACACATGTAACCTCTCTCTCTCTCTCTGTTTATCATTTTTCACATATACATATATATATACATTGAAACATTTCTCGTTCTCTGTTTTGTACCAGGGGTTGGCTCGATCGACCTTTGACGGATCCATGGAAGCTCTCCCATCAGCTTGTTTCAAGCGTTGGTAGGCTGGCTAGTAGTCTTGAACTAGGAGTCATGATTGCCAGCCCCTGGTTGAGAGCACTGGATCCGTGCCGGGGCTGAACTGTTACACAAACACCCGCTATTTTGAACAGACCCAATTTGGTTTTAAAGTGCCCTGGAAACACCCTCCCCCTGATTTGGACGCCAAAAGCAATTAGACTTCTTGGGGCGTTGAATGGGTTCCTTCCAACGGCCATTGTCATCAAACCTGGCTCCGGGTATTGCATGCCACGCATGCCACCGCCTACTCCGCAGCCTTGTCCTCAAGGCGACATTTGCCCCACCGGCGCAACCGGGCGCCGGATGCCTGAATGAAGCTTTGACGGTCGGTCCTTTCTGCTGGCCCGACCATCACCCCTTTTGGGCGCAGCCGGGCGCCATGCTCATTCTTGCGCTTCTGAGCCTTTTGCCTTCGGTCCACGGGCTGCTGTCTCCCGGGTGTGCGCCTGGCTGTGGCGAGCACGGCACCTGCAGGACCGATAGATTGGCGATGGCTGACCGATCGTCGAATTGGACTTTCCCGAAGGTCTTAGGGAAACAATGGTCAAGCAACCTTTTGCGTGTATAGCTTTGATTGGAACTGGACCTATCACCGAGAGCATCTGGTGTTGCAAATCTTCTTCGTTGCATCCGTTTGCGCCTTGCTTTGTCTTTTGGTGGCGAGCTCCTGAGGAGCGGCGTCTGCGAATGCCACACCGGCTGGGCGGGCAAAGACTGCGGGGTCTTCCTGGAGGAGGTGCCGCAGGCGGGAAAGTCCATTTCCGGGGTTGCCAAGATGTGTCATGAACCAAGAGGGGGAAGTTCTAACCCCTTAAAAAACCTTGAGGCTTCTCCTTGGCTTGTGTTGGCTTTTAGGGATAGGAGAAATTCGATGAAGAAGCCTGCGTCTCCACCCAAGAAGGTCCTGTTGGGGGATTCCTGTTTTGAAAGAATTGCCCAGATGCAGGTGGACCTTCCCATGTTTACTTTTTCATTTTAGTTGGTTGGACACTTAGGTAGACATTATTTTTGTCCGCAACTTGTCAGGGTCCCCATCCGGATTCAGAGCAGCCATGTGTTTGGGGGCATTTTGATTCATGCTGGCTATCTGTATTTGGTCTTAAACCAGCCTTGAGAAGACCAAATCTAATGAAACATGGATGGATGAATGAACACACGGATTATAGCAACACACAGGTACGAGCACCGCCAATATGAGAAAACAGGAATTTTGGGCCGGGGGAGGAGGTGGAGGGGCAAGGGAATACCCTTCGTTGTCCTCGTGACATGCCGTTCAGAGGACTTACTTTGGTGCATAGTGCTCCAAGGTCTGTCGCAATGTTCATATACGTGGCAATGTCGCATGTTTTACCCACAAGAGAGACATGCCATACCTTCAAGGGAGGCATGTGGCACATTCAAGAGAGGCACGATATATATATATATATATATATATATCTCATAAATATATACATGACACATTTTGCACATACAAATGCAAACACACATGTGTCAACAAGCGACCCATTCACACACACACACACATATATATATATATAGGCATATATATATATATATATAGGCATATATATATATATAGGCATATATATACATATGTATATATACATATATATTTATATCTGTAGAGAAGGCGGGCTCCAGGTGGAGCTGTCCCCCGCGGTGCTTGAGATCCTCCAAGCGGCCGCGAGCACCCCAGGCGGTGAAGTGTGATGGGCTCGCGCGGGAGCGATCGAGCGGTTTTTTGCGTCTTTTGAGGGTAGACCTTGTGACAGGTTGGCAAGGGCGACCACAAGGAAAATGTTTCCAGGCCCCTTATTTTGCCGCATGAATGGTTAGAATGGGATAGGAACCAACATTTATTTGGGCACTGGCTGTTGTGGGCTACTGCAGAATTACTCACGTAGATTATATATATATATATATATACACATGTATATAATACTAATCTGTTTGCCTATTTGTACAAGTGTGAGTTGCACACACCCATGTCACAAAGCCTAATTCCAATCATGACTTGGCTTTGGGATCAGAGACTCAGGAATTCTCGTCGTGGCCACGGATTTGTGGATCAAGGGCTTGAACAACCGGGCATGGTCTTTTGGAGAAGGGTCGGCGCTCATGGCGCCCATGCACCACCTTTCTGCAGGCTTCGAACTGAGAACCATGGGGATTCCTTTGCTTGAGGGATCGAGGACCATAGTCGATGGGAGTCTCATGGCTCAAATGGTCGGGGTTTCCCATAGTTGGGAACATTGCCAAAACAAGCATGGGCAGTGTCTGTTTTTTTTGGGAGGACCCGCAGCTGGTTGGTTTTATAGGAAGACACACCACCCTTTGAGGTCACCCTATTTTGAAACACGAAAGAATAATGAATTGGTGAATTGGGGAAGTGTCCTACCATTTATTGCCTTGGCACGTCACCTACAACGCACCTGACCTTGCAATTGGGGGCCACTTTTAAAAGTGGGGGGGCCTCATTTGGACTGCATGTGGCTATGTGTCAAGTGCAGATAGCCAGGCAACAGTTTGTCAAGCAACTGGTCACCGCGTCGAGCCTTCACCGGCCTGGGGTCTACCTGCCAGGGCCGGCAGCAGTGGAAACTGCCCCAGCAGAAACTGCCCCAGCGGAGAAGTTTCAAGTGGAGAAGGCCGCTTGGGGTTTCGGGCTCTCAATGACAGACTTGGGGCTTTTGGGTGGGCCCAAATCATCATTGGCTTACTTTTGGATTCCCGGAACACCGAGCAAGAGGGGATCCATTTCCGATTTTTGGAAGCACCCACTCAAATCGGAAGCATGACGCTCCGAAAGCGCAGCTTTTCGACCTGAGAAGCGCAAGAGTCAGCATCGGTTGGCTTGTCATAAGAAGACTGGCTTGTCAGCCATTCGTTAGATGGAAAGCATATCAGAACCTCGAAACCAAGTGACAACTGTTAGGTCGTTCTTACAAACTAAAGGTAAAGCAATCAAAGCAGCTGCTCATCTTTGGATCAGTTTGTTTGGCTCCAAAAAGTATCCGGCCATCGAGGGCTTAGCAAGCGGCCAGTTTGCCTCCACGAATGCGAATGTGTTAATCTTGAGGGCACCCATTTCAATCGTAAACCAAGAGCAAAGCAAAAAACACATCAAGAAGGAAGCTAAAGGACAGCACAGGGGCGCGGTCAATGAGAGTTGATCGGACCACGACCAAGCTGGTTTGGCCACCCATGGCTCCTGTTGCTGCCTACACTCAGGCCTATCAGGTGCTCGAGGTGCAAAAGGAAAGCCAAAAGACGGCCAAGAAAAAAGGACATGAAACCGAAGCAAGTACAGCAAAGAGGGAAGCTAAAATGAAGCTAAAATGAAGCCAAAGGAAGCCAGAAGAGCATCAAAAGTGAAGCCCCAAGCTTTTGGGCAAGTGGATGTGGCGATTCAGCTTCCAGATAGCGCGAGGAGCTCGGAACGACCGCCGGAGCCGCTGGGCTTGAGACTCTCCTGTCTGTTTGGGGGCAAACGACATCGCGACCTTTGATTTATGAAAGAACAGCCCGCCCTCCCTTGGACCCCTCCCGATTACAAAAACATGGGAAGCTTGTGGAAGCTTAGCTTGTGGAGGCCTTGGGGCAGCCTCTTGGAAACCTTTCGGATGCCTCCACGCGATGCTGAGAGAAGCTTTGGGGAAGCCTCCAGAAAAAGGGGGAGCGCCCCCGCTTCCCTCTCCCGGGCCAACTGCCCCGTTTTCAGGGGAAGCCTTTGAGGGAATTTGGGGAACAAACAAATCCTACCTCAGTCCTACAACAGTCCTGCAACATGTCTAAAAGTAGGGGTACTGGGTGGAAGAGTGACTCCATCCTCAAACAATCAGTTCCAGGAAGGCACCGTGCTTGGGAACCCCGCGCAATTTGTCAATGGCAAACCGGGGGGGGGGGGGGGATGGGTCTGGACCGATAAACTCTATGCAGATATTGAGGTTTCATGTTTATGATTCAGCGCATACTTGATGATTTGATTGACCATCAGAGAAGCAGATCGATAGACGGACGGATACATTGAATAGACGGATCGAATGATCGATCTATAGATAGATTAGATAGATAGATAGATAGATAGATAGGTAGGTAGGTAGGTAGGTAGGTAGGTAGGTAGGTGGGTAGGTAGGTAGGTAGGTAGGTAGGTAGAGAGGAAGGTAGGATGCTGATATACACATAGTCAAACAGAGAAATTGACACATGCACAAACAGACAAACAAACACATAGAAACACAGACGACATTTTACCACAGACCAAATTACTCTGACAGACACATATATGTATATACACATTATATATATATATATATATATATATATGATATATCGGATATATCGGATATATCGGATATATTGGATATATCGGAGAAACGCGGGGCACTTGCAAATATAGGCTTTACATCACAAGTTGGCTTCAGTGAACTGTGAGCTTCTCAAAATGCTGTGGATCCCAACACATGTACAAAGCTTATTAACAATCCGGCTGCAGTTATTGACATATTTGCTATGCTTAATCAGCACACTACCCCAGACATGTGGTTTTTGATAAACTGCTGAGCTGCAGAATGGTGCGAAGTCGTTGCTTGTATGTATTCATGGCATGTGCAAACGTATCCTGGATGCAAGCATGGTATACCCTACTTGTAGTCAAAATTTGCAAAGCAATCATCTGCTTATATGTAGTCATCGCATGTAAATCAATTTATGTGCTCACACATCTGTTTTCATTGAATGATTTCCGAATTGAACTTCCACCACTCATTGGGCTCATGTGTTTTTACATACAATTCATTCAGATGTATAGTTTATGTTCAGATATGAACTTATCAACTCTGCGGCCTGGGATAGAACAAAAAGCGATGCTCGAGCAGGAACTGATTGTAACGGAGCAACCTCCAACTTTTTCTTCTTATTATGTTTTTTTTTTTGTTTGGGGGGGGGGGGTACCCACACACTACATCAATGTATATATGCATTTGTGTGCATGTATATATGATATTTGTATATACACATAGATACATGTTAAACACATTTTTCGTGCCCCACCCGTTCCGAGGCCACGGCCGTGGGTGCGCTGAAGGTGGCCCGGGAGGCGGTGGCCGCCGTCGGCACGGCGGCCGCGCTGCTGCGAGGCCCGCGGGGTTCGTTTCGGCCCGGTCCGAAAAGCGGCCCTGGCACGGGGCTTTGGGAGGTGAACCAGGCAGCTCCACTTTTCTTGTGGTTTGAATTTTGCCTTGTAAGTTGGGGAGGGCAACCTAGTGCAGGCAACGCCACCTCCTTGGTGCAGCGCCAGCCCTCCCCCGAGCCCACCACCACGTGCGAGGCAGACTGTAGCGCCCCGGATTGGGAGAATTGGGGGAGGGGGAGGAGGGGCGCCGCGCTGCGCTGCGGGCCGAAAGATGGTGAGCGATGCACACCTTGTCATTTCGCAGATGGGAGAGCCGGGCTGGCTTTGGACCTAGGGCGCCGCTGGCAACGGCAGGCGGTGACATAAACTCCACCTAAATTTTGTCCATGAAAGGATAACTCATTTCATTTGCGAACTTCGAGGGGTTCTAGCCTCGCGTGGAGGCGTGTTGCACGTTGTCAGGCCCTTCACCCAGCGTGCCATCTGCAACCTCGGTCTGGAAGGCTGAAAGCAAAAGAAAGAAACGCATCGTCTTTCTGGCTTTCGGAGAAGCCTTCGGCCTGGTGCAAACACTGGGAGGCCGAATCAACCGATGCAGATGAGCCTTGAAGGAAGCATCCCCGCACTCCCCGATTTGGAACGCCCCCTTTGGATCCAACGGACGCCAGGACGCCAAACGTTGCCAGGGCTTCCATGGGAAGCAGGACATTCCTCATGTGGCTATCGTTCAACATGGGTTAACAAGGCTGGACACTCAATAGCGCAGAGCTCCTATGTTGAGGGAGGAGGCAACCAAGTCGTGGAAAATCGTTGTTTTGTGCCAACTTATCACGGGTGAATAAAGGGGAGCAACCAACTCCATAAGCCTCTTAAGATCCTCCCTATCTTCGTTGTTGGCGGCTGGGCGGAAAGAACTATGGCTCGCCTGTCTTAGGCGGCCACGGCACCTGCAAAGAGAGCGGCTGCGTCTGTGGGGAGGGCTGGACGGGGAGCATCTGCGACATGCCCCTCTGCGAGAGCGACTGCAACCACAGTGCCCTGGTATGCAAGTGCAATATTCAGAGGGCCCTGGGAGGCTCAGCGCGGGACAAAGCATATTTGAGCCAGTCATGGGGGCTGACAGCGGATTTGTTTCGTCGAGCAACAAGTGCAGGGGGGTCTCTAGCGTTTGAACAAACTCAGGGGCGCCCTGATTGCTTTTCCCCGCAGATGCATACAGGCAGTTTCCTCCACACATCGGCACACCCGTCAAGAGTTCGCCGATTGTTTTCATCCTTTGGATCTGGGTCAAAGAGACACTCTGGCCGAACAAAGTGCCTCAAGACGAGGTGTGCTTTTTCTCCACCTCAACCCGTCCTCTATGTGCGCAGCCATAGGAACTCTTGACAGGGGTGTACCCACATACATATGTACATATAGGTAAATGGATGTCTACATATATATATATATACACGTGTATGTCTTGTATGTATATTACACATTGTGTATTCTCCGTTGGATTGCCTGTTGCCCAGGGGGGATGTGCATCCACGGCAAGTGCATTTGCGACGAGGGCTGGCACGGGTCCGGATGCCAAATCAAGCGCTGCCCCAACGATTGCTCTGGCGCCGGCTATTGCTTCCATGGCGCCTCTCCTGTGGGAAGGGGGTGGGAGGTGGGGGTGCAGGGGTCGTAGCTTTGGTTGCTATGGCTGCGGTGTTTCGCTTCAGATTCCCTGCAAATTGGCCCAATGAATGGGCAAATCTCAAACATTTGCTTTTCCTGGAAGACCAAAAGGAAACCACACATTTTTGGGGTAATGGCGGATATTCCAGGAAGTCTCATGATGAAGTATTGCTTTTGAGGGTTCGCTTTAAACTCCATGAACAAATCGGGGTCCCCCATCGTACCCACCCAATGGCGACTTTTTGTAAACCCGGAACAAGATAACGGAGAAACTTGCCGCGACACCTCGTTGACCGATGTGGTGAACAGCTCTTCTTCTTCTTTTAGAATATCAGTTGTCTGAAACCGAGCGTTTGACCTTTAGATCTTCCAAGTTTGGTCCAAAATTTCCAGGTCCTTCGGAGCGAGCGAGCGACAGAGAGCACAACGGTGGGCTCCTCGCAGACTGGAGGTGTCCTTTCGCTCGCCTTTTCTGTTCCAAAGGTGCCAGGGAGATAGACCCAGCGGCCCTAAATTGGACTCGGAACTTCCGGTTGCCAGGATTTCACTTGTTGCCAGCGCATAGCGCATGGGAGAAGCCACTTGCGCGGCCTTGACCACTCCATGAAAGTCTTGGCTGGTATTTTTGGCAGTGGCTCAGCTTCCATTTGCTTTTTGTTTTCTGCCTTTCCTTTCCCCTGTTGGTTTTAAAGGGGATCTATCAAGCAAATAGAAGTTGTGGCAACCGAGCTACAGGCGACGTGCCTGGGGTTGCCCCCCCACGAGCCATTTCGGGACGACGCTTTCTTCCGAGGCGCTTGCAGGTGCCAGGCGGGCTTCGGCGGGCCGAACTGCTCCGAGGCGCTGGCGCTTGGCGCTTGACTGTGGAGCTGTGTTGAGGGGGGACTTGAACCGGGTGCCTTCAGATTTTACATTTGGCAATTCTGACTTCCAACTTCACCTTTTCCACCTGAGCACAAGGAAATTGCGCCATATTTGAGGTGATGTTTGGGGGGAGAAATGGGAATCTCTGGTGAAGCGGTTCTAAGAAGCGGGTTGCAGAGAATGACGTAGCCACCCGGAAGAGCTTTGCTTGAGCACATTCAGGGTCACCCACTGAAGTCCTCGACTAGAACGATAAGACGGACAGTTTTGAAACTGTGCCATGTTCAGACCTCTGACCTAATAAACAGGAAAGAGAACAGGGATAAATGAGATATGGGGCAACATTGTTGCTTTGTCATTGTGTGGACATGCCCCCCTTGCAATCCAACTTGCCGCATGGCGGTGCTGCATTGACGGGCACGTGCCAAGCTAAACAAACAGACTACATTTCGGACTGGAAACAAGGGCATTCCTCATAGCCTTGTCGTTTTTTGAGGTCACCGTTTTTCGGAGCCAACACGCAACCTGGTTGGGGTCCGAGGCCCATTTGACATGCGCCAGGCAGTACCGGAGCGAGGCTCCCTGGTGGTGAAGCTGAAGCGCTCCCGCCCCGCGCAGCCGCGGCCCGGGATGGACGGCTTCCAGGCAACGGATGGTGCATGTGAGTACCCCGGTTTTACTGAGCGGACGAACGGACGGATGGATGGATGGATGGATGGCTGGATGGATGGCTGGATGGCTGGATGGATGGGTGGATGGATGGATGGCTGGATGGGTAGGTGGGAGAAGATGGGTTTCATTGAGCGGATAAGGTTTCGGAGGTGCTGGTGCTGACGCCAGTTTCTCAAATTGGCTGTTTTGCTGTTGGGGATAGAACCACCCACAGCTCACCTTGTTGTTGCGGTTGTTGTGGCCAATTTTGGGGTTGTTTAGCGGAGCCTTTTCTTGGCATGATTCATTTTTGCGCGGGGGGGGGGGGGGCGGGGTGTCCCTTTTCTTTTTGAGGAGTAGCCGATCTATTGTTTTCTTTTGAAGGACCATGTCAAATGTATGAGATGCATTGTTTGGCTTAATGAATCCTCAAACTGGCTGCTGCCCCCAAATTGCCCCGGTAGACCACTGAAGACAGTTGGGCCAGTTAAAAGATCACGTTACCACCTGATGGGGACCCCTTAGCTGGTTTTTGGAGAGCTGGAATCCAGTTGTTTGTGCCATGGACACGAGTCTATTTAACCCTAAAACAGGACCGTAAAAGAAGGTAGTTGTAACCTAGACCTCGTGAAGTGTCTCCAAATACGGTATGGAACCTTCAAAATCGGTGGTTTCCCTTGATTTCCTCCAAAGCAAGAATATGTGGGTGTGTCCCCATTTTTAAGGGGAAACCCTCGCTTGGAGGTTGTCTTAAAGGGAGGCGCAGAGGCTCTCCAGTTTGCGGTTCCCCTACCTCTGAGGAGTCGATTCTATTTGTGCCACGGTCAAAACTCCGTTTGGGAAGGTGCGAATTGTACAGACAGACCCTCATCCCCTTGCAAGGCAAACCAAGAGAAGTATGTTGTTCAGTCAATTGTGGTTCAAAGATGTGTTTACATGGCGATGGTAGCTCAAGAGGGCATTTAGACAAGCAACGCAAGCGCTTCTACGGGTATCAGTCACCATCGCGGATGACACAAACCACCCCAAGGTGGATAGCAGGTGCTGCACTTACCAGATATGTTGGCCTATACAAAAGAGATAGAAATCCAGTGGTGTTTTCATGGCTGTATGGCCCATGGACCCAGCACCAGGAGACCTCGAGCCTCCATGAGTTAGAGGCGCCCAGCTGCCCGGAGAACTGCAATGGTCGAGGCGCCTGCAGCCCCACCGGCAAGTGACCCTCGGCTGGGTCGTATGTCTTCTTGTTCGTTTGGTGCAGGAATGGAAAGCCAGCAGGATGTTCATTGCTTGGGTGGATCGAAGGATTCAGGCATCAACATGCGTCGGCAGTTGTTTTGGGACTTGGTCGATTCACACATGGTGGTTTCTTTTCGACATCCATTTAAACCAACCTGAAGAGGGTGCCCACGAAACACAGAGAGGGAGGGAAGAGAGAGAGAGAGAGAGAGAGAGAGAGAGAGATAATTTCACAATCGGGTGGTTGTTGGACATGGATACCCATGTAAAAGACATCCACCAGAGGGTGGATCAAATGAATGCTGAATGGAACCTGAAAAGAGCCAAACTTGCCCTAGTGCCATACAAAAACTTGAAAAGAAACAAAACACTTCACAAGGACGGTCGTTTGGAGGTTCAGTGGCATTTGCAGGCTTGGAAACACAGCAGCCAAATTGGTCACCAGGCGTCCATCACAAGCAAGCGAATTGAACAAGGATTGCCCCACATCGTGACCCCAACAGTACATGATTCTATTTTGCATGCAGGTTGGCTCGAGTTTGCGGGTCCCCCTTTCCCATGCGCACTCTGCGCTCTGAGGCCGCTGCGAGGCGGGCTACGGGGGCCCGGCCTGCGAGGCTGTGTGTCCCAACGCCTGCTCCGGCCAGGGCCGGTGCATCGAAGGCGCGCTTTGCGCGTGCCGATGAGCTCACTCCGGGGT